AGATCTAGATCTGAATCTCATGTATACTTATTGGATTCTGATCCGAATATTCTGAATCCGACCAGATCCAGATCCCCTGTATAGAATATGAATCTAGATCTCAGTGGATCCAGACCAGATCCAACCGATCATCAGCCCTAATCTATGGTGTATTATATAGAGATTTGTCGATAATATTTATAAATGATAAAAATTGTCAATAGCATTTATACATGATCAAAATCTATTAAGTATTAGCTAAAAAAACTCTTTGAAAGCTCCCCCGTTTTCCAAAATATCTACTTTGTGTGGTCACTCTAAAAATATGAACAAACTGAACATCCTAGAATATTCCTGTTCTTGTTTGGTTGATAACAATAACTTTAAAAACATTACAATTTTTTTAACAATAATTAAAAAATTTCATTACTATATTTTTCAATGTACAATGGGAGATGTACAACTGCAAAAGAATCAACAAAACATATTAACCTCTGACAAATCCTCCATTTACCTGTTCAAGCTCACAAAGAAAAGTGTAGAATCCGAGGGAGCATAGTATACGCGTTCTTCTGTAAAGCAACAAACAAGAACTGCATGTCATCCTGTTGCTATACTTCAAGCCTCTCACTCCCAGACCCCACACAATGTTCTCCCCCTCGAAACCTTGAAAGATAGATCCTCGCTTTACTAGTTGATCAGCCTCGCCATTCTTTTCTTCGTAAACATGAAATAATCTTTCTTACCTGGCTCTGCTTCTGAATTTCATCCATAATCTTTTGCTATGGAACTTTTGGTGGCTCCTTGTGTTAGCCCTAATACAGTGGATCTTTGTAATTTTCAGAAGTAAATAGAGCTATATCAACAAGATGGGTTTTGAACTCAATCAGAAATATCAACAAACATATGGCATGCTATTCTTATCAAAATACCCACAACAAGTTTTAAAGAATCTTCAACCAAAAATCAATTGCAGTTATTGATAAACTCTTCTAAACAATCCAAAAGAAATTTCCTGCAAGCATACACCTATTAAAAATCATTCCAACGATATAAAAAAATACCCAATAACTATTTTTTTTGCTCTTATAATACTTCCCAGCCTTCTTGTAGTATTTCTAGATGCATAAGATAAAAGAAGAAAGTTGAAACAAACTCACCAATACCTATTAATTTGCGGTACAATTTGATAGCCTTTTAGAGAGAGAAAGTGGCTGAAAATGAGTTTTCCAACGAGATATAACCCAAGATGAAACACAACTTTCCTGTAAACCGTTGTTAGTAATAATATATATACAGAGAGAGAGAGCGCTCCTTCGAGATGTAACATGATGCTTGGGTTGATCTTGTGATTCTGGAGGGCTCTCACAGAGATGAGAGGTACGTCCTTGTACCTAGCTCACCAGGACGCATAAGAGAAAGAAAGAAATTTTAGGGAGAGAAGGAGAGCTCGTGCATGATGTCCAGTCTCTCAAAACCCTTTCCATGAATATAGCTACAAAAGGGAAAATAGAGAGAGACACATGTAGAGAAAGAAATGAAAAGTGTTGCCTCTCAGTGGCCACTTGTCCCTCTCTTCACATGAATATTTCTTATTCTCTACACAAAGCACTAATTTATTTTGAAATACTTTTTGAGTGGGAAAAAAAGAAATAAATAATCAAAATTTGAACGTTTATTTTGTAAATATTTAAAAACGCAAGGTTCTCTAACACCTTGCACCACATTATAACATTGGCTGAATCTCTTTTTTTGACGACCTTGTCATCATTTAGCATAAGTCTACGAACTCTATTTGGCATAATAAGTCTACAAACTGGTGTCATTCTCTACATCAAGTATGCAACCAAATAGAGCTATATATTATCACAAAGAACTAGACACTCTCTCGGGTAAAACCCTATCTAGGAGCATTTTAAGACCCGAAGTTTTTCGGATATAACTTCTGCGGCTAATCCAAAAATAAACAAAAAAAAAAATAAGCGCGCTAGATGGTCATTAAAAAAATGTATTTAGATTGAATATAGATCATACAATTTATAGTCAGCCATATCTAAGCTTCTAGGAGTTCCAATTTCATTGTATTCATGGAAACACTTCGGTTATTCTAATGTGGATAGTATGATCCTCTGGGAGTACTATACAAATGCAAAAAGTTATTATGAGGGAAAGTATGGCATCCACATAAGAATACGGTTTCTACTACAAGAACAATCTTTTTTAGACTTATGGAGGAGTATATAGGAAGACTATTTACCTTGATACAAGGAGAGTGCGATCACTCTTGATCATTAGATGTGAAAACATTAAGCCGGAGGTGCCATTGGCTCATAATTTCAATTTTTTTTTCAAACTTTCCAACTTGATTTTACATAACGAGGTTGCCGATGATTTAGCTGAGAAGTGGGTGAATATGGATTCTTTAGTTATTTCATATGTTTTAATTTGAACTATACCTTGTTTTTCTTTTCCATTATCAATAAAAGTTAAGTACTCTTGTCAAACAAAAAAGAAATTTTATTTAACGGCTAATACAGCCTTAGAATACAATATCTTTAACAATCTTATGACATACCATCTTTTTAATCATCATCGTCGTCCAAGGTTGATCCTAATTATTAGGGGTTGACTACCATACAATCTTTTTAAAGGATTGTCTACAAAGAGACAATTTATCTTTATTGCAAGGAAGTCACAACTACTTTCACTCATTAGGTGTCAAATTGAATGACTTGGGATGAGTCGCAATTTTTTTTTGGAACTTTGTACTTATTCAATAACACTCTCACAACCACTCATATTGAAATTTTAAAACAAAAAATGATAATGATCTCTTGTACAAAAAGTAAATGATCTTTTTATAATCCATATTTTTAACAATCTTACCATATATTATCACTATTGTTATATTGGATCTCCATTTTGGAGAATTTGCATAAAATGTCTTTATGTCATTAAGCAACTAAATCTTGGACCCATGTTAAGATACAATCCTCTTTTACGTCAAAAGAGATCCTCATTTTGATACTGATAAATTACAACTCATTTACCTTTTGAGGTGGTTTAGCTTTTCAATGATGTTTTCTCATTTTACCTTTTGAAGTGGTTTATCCTTTCAATGATATTTTTTCAAAAAATACAAATACATATTATTTTTTATTATAAAATTTGTGATTTTGATCTTCGATCAATATCCATAAGGGATTGTATACAATGAGATGTTTTTCCTTTGATACAAGGTGGTCACAATTGTTTACAACAATTTGATATGAAATTTGATAACTTGGATGTGTCACAAAGTTCGAAAAAATTTGATATAAAATTTGATAACTTGGATGTGTCACAAAGTTCGAAAAAATTTATTTTGAAGTTTGAACTTGATCATTGAAATAAATGCATCCACCCAATTTCACATTTAATGATAAAAAATTAATGTGACCACCGTGTATCAAAAAATAAATAGTCTCATTCTATACTTTCCTCATCCATAATAGATTTTGGAAAGGTGAACTCACAGTAGCATATTATCCCGAACGGGCACCGAAATCATTTCACTCCATTTTATTCTATATTTTAAAAATCAAACAAGTGATACAAATCGGTTACCTACTTGTTTCAAGCCAACTCAAAGCTGCTTGAGTGGGCTCGTCGATTCTTGCATTTAAAAATAAAAAAGTACTAGTGAAAAACTATTGGGGGAACCAATGACCCTCACTCAAGAGCCGATTATTTAAAAAATGTTACACCGGCATGGAGTCGTCGGGTTTGATTCGAGAATCGATCAATCTTTTTCAGTTCTATATATATATAAAAAAATTGGTTGAATCTAAAAAAAAAAAAACAAACAATTGCACATAGTAAAACGGTGATCCCGAGATTCACGGATCACTGTTTTTGGGATATTCACTATTATCTCCAGTGTAAAACGGTGATCCCGACGGCTATTTCTAAAACACGTGCCACGTGGGAAGCTCAACCACTTAGACACACTATTGAAACAAGTTTATGTGCCGTAAACCGACTCTCAAGAAACCTACGGCTCAGATGCAATAAAACAGATCGGACGGTAGTTATATACCCGATCTCTTACGATAAATACCACAAGTCTCTAGCTTGCAAAACCCCCTCATTTTCGTGAAGGCTCGCATGAGCACCGGTTTCTTAGAGGAAACAACGGCTGAATCGCAACTAGGGTTTCTTAGCTACTGATTCATCGAAAATGGTACTATGTTTTTTTTTTTCTCATAGTAAGGGTTTTTCATATTCTCTCTTTTTTTTTGGTGCCTTTAATGGATTAGAGTTTCTCTGTGAAGATTAGGGTTTTCTGGGTTTCCCTTTGCTATCATTATGTTATTGCATTGTAATCTGGTAAACTGTAACTTGAGTTTCAATGTACACTGAATCTGTTGATTCTCCTTGCTTGTTTAGCTGAAAATTAGGGTTTTGTTGTTGGGATCTTACTTAGCTGAAATTAGCGTTTGATTGTAGGGATCTTGGTAGAGGAGGTGTGATGAGGTTTGAAGATAGGGATATTATATGATATAGAAGTTTTAGGGATTTATGGTTTATGGGATTGTTCTTTAGCTATGCCATTTCTTCTGTTACATCTGCTATATATTGATGTATTTTTACATTACATCTGCTATTGTTGTTTGATGTTCTCATCCATATTAGAACTTCAGAATCAAGGTTTTTTTGGGTTTTATTTCCATTCTTGGAATTTCCTGTTAATGTGCTGCTTAAACCTTACATTTCCCCGATGAATGCCGTCTCCCACTTTTTTGAGCCTGTAATCTGTTACAGTTATGCCTTGTGAATGAAATTAGAATTTTTTCTTGTTGGATACCACACAATTAGGTTTTGTTTAGGATTTATGTATTGTAAATGTTGTGCTTGCAAATGAATATTGGGACTCTCCCAATGACTTCCCTTTTGTTTAATTTAGTGTTTTCCGAATTCATTGCATCTATTTGAAAAGTAATTTCTTTGACTAGGGATTACTGGTTAATAATCTCTATGCGATTTTGCATCTGTTTGTCTGTGGAAGTTGCAAGGGACGTATGAAATTAAGGTTTTTCTATTCCTTAATAATGAATTATGTTCAAAGCTTGGGTCTTTGAGCTAGAGATCTCAGATTTACCCTGTTTGTTTGTCTGCGTTGTATGCCCTTTTATGGAGCTCTTCTTGATATCTTAAATTAGTGTTCTCTAGTTCTAGGATCACATTTTTTTTTTGGCACGTATAATGAGATTGGGGATTTGAAGTAAGGATTTTTCGTGATTTTTCATATGCTTATTTCCTTCTATATTCTCATAATGTTAAAATAGGATTTTTGAGCTAGGGATTTTCCTTGAAATATGATTTTGAGCAAGGGATGCCAAAAATTAAGGTTTTTTAATTCTGGCGTCTTAGTGATTCAGGTTCATGTAAAGAACTTAAGGAATTTAAGGCTTCCGGTTTTTTAATCGGTTTTGATATTAATGTATTGTTTATCATATGTGCATATCTGCTTAATTTGCAGTTCATAGAATTTTACCTGATGCTTCTAGTGTTTTTTTTGGTTTTAGGATTGCAGTGTTTCGTCATATATTCAAACGTAGGGTTTCTAGCAAAGGTTTTTCATTGTATTTCTTGCGTATTGCTCAGCTTTATCCTTGGTCTTTTGATTGAATATTTGATAGTTTTTTCCCCCATGGCATTGGCATGTTTGATCGTAAATTAAGGCCTTTTCCCCCTTTCTTTGCATTTTTTTTGTTGATTATTCCATGGTTTTCTGGTCTTAGGTGCTCTCAAATGATATCGACTTGCTCCACCCTCCTGCGGAATTGGAGAAAAGGAAGCACAAACTCAAGCGCCTTGTGCAATCTCCCAATTCCTTTTTCATGGTCTCTCTCTCTCTCTCATGCTTTGTGATCTACTTTGTTTAGAGTTCTGTTTAATAGTTTAGGGTGAACTGATTATAAGTATTTTTGTTGACTGTAGGATGTTAAATGCCAAGGTTGCTTTAACATGTAAGTATTTGTTATCAGACATTAATTTCTGGCTTCTTTATAGAAGCTGCTCTCTCTCTCTCTCTCTCTCTCTCTCTCTCGATATCTCTATCTATCTCTCTCAGTTACTGAATAATACTCTCTACATTTATCATCTTCAACATGATTTTTTCTAATTTTGTTGTCACTGGATGCATTGAATGATACATGTATACATGTAAATAACATTGGCTTATTGATGATCATCCTCATGGAACATTGCAGAACAACTGTGTTCAGCCACTCTCAAACCGTTGTTGTATGCGGGAATTGCCAAACTGTATTGTGCCAGCCAACCGGGGGAAAAGCCAGACTCACAGAAGGCTGCTCTTTTAGAAAGAAGGGTGATTGAGAAGGTTGCACACTCTTTTCTTCCTTTTTCTCTCGTCTTTTTTTCTCCAGTAGAGTGCATATAGGTTGCAGTTCTAATGATTACATGGAGGTGAGGGATTTTGGGTTGGTTACTTTTTGTTAAGCTGTAAGATGACCCTAATCTCTTTTGGTGTGCGTGAATTTCAGTCTTCTGTCGTCTTTTATTTTCTCTTTACTGGTCGTCCTTTCACTGTGAGGACTGTGATTTTGGATAATTGAAGTTGAGTTGTGAACTTAAGCTCTGTAATGGATGATATTTCCTAGTGACTTTTTGGATCAATTTTCAAAGAGTTTAGAGAGATCCCCAATAACATGGACAAGGAAATGAATCTCAGAGAGAAAGAGGAAGTTAAAAGGTTCTCCCAAGGCTCGAGAGGTGGGTTCTTTAAGCAATCTTTTTGTTAAAAAGATTTTGTATTTCATGTGGTGGTGTCCATAAGGAACAAATGATGAAGGTTTTTCATTTTTTAAAATGCAGGTTGCATAATGCATTATGCAGCTTGGAGCTCATTGCTTCAGGCTATATGCTGTATGAGTGGCATATCGCCAGCATATGCGGTTGCATCATCGAAATTTTCTTAGATTAAAATTTTCTTTTGCTGATATATTTTACTTGGGGCGCCCATGTCCATCATTTTCAACAAGAAGAACCTGGCATGGAAATATGCGGACCTCAAAATGTTGAAGGTTTGAAATTACGATATTTGTACTGGAAAATTTTCAGTGGGGCTGGTTTAATTTCTAATCGACGAGATTGAAAGAGATTGTCTTTAAAGTCAGGCAAATGAAAAAATTAATATGAGAAATTGGAAGAGAGATAAGGGCATAAATATGTAGTAAAAAAAGGTAAAAGGATAGAAAATGAGAAGGAATTAATAGAACAAATTCAAGTATTTCATGATTTGTATGATTGAGAGTTGAGTTAAAAAAAGAAGGGAAGTTGATTATGTTTTTAATAATAGAAAATCATGAAGTTAGGAGAAATGGATATATTTTTAATGGAATGGAATGGATTGTTTTTTTTTGCATGTTAAATGTGTCAAGGATTCAGATCATATGGGGTGTCGACCTTATGCTCTTGAAGTAAGGCATCTTAAGTACCAATTTGGAAAAAGTTATTCTGATGCTAAAAATTTTTGAACTCGTCTAGATGAATAGAAATTAAAAGCCAATTCAAGTTAATGGAAATGTTGCGCAATTAAAAAACAATTCAAGTTCAAGGAAATGTTGCGTCCAGACCGTATATTTTGAAAAATACTAATCATTTATAGATATGATTTATTTCATATGTAGTATTTTTTAACTTTTAAGTTCCGTAATTAGGATAATAGTTTTCTAAACCCTCGTATGGTTTTTTGCTATCAAGATTGCATCTACGACATGGTTTGGAGTTGCACCCCGCTTATTAGACATCACTCATTAAAGATTATAAGTTAGGACAATAAGTTTCATTATTCTTTATCAGGGATTCGGGAACTCTTTTGAAGTCTCGAACAATTGTTTTATTATAGGTATTTAATAATTAAAAGGGCAAGCTTTCTATGCTACACTTGCATCCTCTTATACAATCATCCATTTTGAATAGACGGTTGAGATGGCCATAATCACAATGTCATGTTTTATATTATTTTATTTTTAATTTTTTATATAAATTATTTGGACACCATATTTTAGGCGACCACTCTCTTAAATTCACACTTGTAAAAAAATATTAAAAAATTGTCAATAAAATAAAATGATCGAAATACTCTTGAAAGGTTTCAAAGAGTATTTTGATCATTATATTTTATCAAAAAAAAATTTAATATTTTTTTAGGTGTTCTCCATTATGAGGATGACATATACCAAATTTTATATTCATATAGTTTGTAGAAAAAAGTTAAAAATAAAATACTATTGAGAATCTAGATCCAATGGTCACTCCCTTGATCTAGATGGTTGGATGGGAGGAAGTACATATTTCTTGCATTTCTATGCAGTAGGGAAAGTATATAAATCTTTTTAATTAAATTGACTGTATATGAGAGGTGATGTGTACGTGTTGAGAATGCATTCAACCACATCGGGTATATGCATCCCACATTTTAGAATAACAGTGGTTGAAACCACTAGGCTTCGAAAAGAAACGATGAGTTTGTTCTGGTTGTACTTGGGGTTGGAGAGAATGCTTTTCTAACTTTGGAAATAATCAATCAAGATATGGATTTGCCAATCCAAATGGGGAATTGCTGATCTTGATTAGTTCTTGTAGGTTGGTTATTTGGGTCTTGGACTCACGGAAGTAATTTTAATATCAATATGTTCACCGATTTTAAACCTTACCCTGGATCTAGATTGGAACTCTAAGTTGGCAATTCATAATCTAGTATAGCACTTGTTAGGAGTTGCAAATTGGTTCAAATGGAAGGCTTCAAAGTGTAAGGAGTATGTCAAAAGAGATGCAATTGAAAGTAGTGAGAAAATATACGAGGACTTACGATCTTATTAAGCGTATAGAACAGAATGGCGGATTAAAAATTATATAGCCGACCTTAAATAATTAGAAAAAAAGCCCTAATAGCGATGGTGATATCATTGAGACACCAACCGTCTCCAAGGGGACTACCAGTTCTAATCTATTCGTTTGGTTTAAATAGATTGTAGTTAGAGCGATCGTGAAGGAGTACAATTTTCCATTTCTGCTTCATTTACGATGTTTTCGATGCTTCCCATTTATATTGGTACTGCATTTTCCGTTGTAATTAGTGATTCATATTGTAAAAGTTGTTGCCTTTGTGGCCGCTATAAATTTGTATATGCTCATCAGCAAAATAATAATCAAAACCAGAAATAATCCACTTTAAATACCAAATATATCAATTTTAATATTTCTTAAATTCAACTTTAAATTAGTAAATCTCGACATGCATTTGTTAAAAGAAAAAAATTTATATAAGGTTGACGTCTTAAATCGTAGAATGAAGATGCACCTAAAAAATCTATCAGAGAACCATTTTTTTATTTGGAAAAATCATCTAATTGGTCATTTCGATGTCAAGATGATATCAAGATGTATTGATATGGGGAAAAAAATATTTGAAGCCAAAAAAGTATATTTTGCAACACATTATCTGGAATATATATTTTTAAGATTTTATGTGTCAATTAATCTGTTTGATTTGAACTATTTTTGGAGTTTAAAATTTTATAATTAGGGATCGAAATAGGTTTTCAGGCCATTTGAAAAACTTTCAATTCTAAATGTGCCTACCTTGATTGTTTGAGGTCACAACCTCATGCAAACCTCACCCATGTTAGTAAAAATGAGTTTTTATTTCCTAAAGTTCGCAATACTCCATTTAAGGAGCTTTTACATTTAAGGAACTTTTAGGTAGGTGTGGTTGTAAGAGAAATTTGTATTTTTGGAAAAAATAAATTATTATATTCTTGCTATAAAAACTTTAGAAAAGAAACTTTTTGAACTTTAACAAAATGGGATGGTATGCTATGACATCACTTATTCCGATTATTTTTAGCCATTAGATGTGAAATCCAATAAATTAGAGTACATCATAGCTTTAGAGAAAATTTGTTTTGAACCGCTTAATCAATGAAATGTCTTCAACCACCCGATTTCACATCTACCAATCAATAATGATTAGTGATCTTATCATATAAAAAGTAAATGGTCTTGTATACATTTTTTACTACTATTAATTATGGGATCAATTTCTATAAATCTCATTTCCACTCTCCTCAATACATTTTGCCCTTATATATGAGTTTACTTCTTCACTTATGTGATATGCGTTTGCTATTCGCATTTTACGTTTAAAATTTCTTTTTTATACTTGCAATCCGTTTTTATTGATCCTTTTCAAATAAATCCAAAGGAAAAAAACGTAGGTATGCGGTCTGGGGTAGTGAGCGCGGTAAAGTAAGTTCCATTCCTACTCCAGTTGGGGGACCTTTTTACCCATTGATATTACCCCTATATACACACACAAAAAAAAATAGGGTTATGCAAGGGTGCTCACGCAATGGAAAAATAGGGTTATGTAAAGGTACATACACTATCAAGTAATTTATTATCGTATTCAATAAAATTTGGACATTTATATACCTTGCATGGAGTTTTATTGGTAAGTATTTTTTATCATTAGTTTATGAGTATGACTTCACCCACGTAGAACGTTTCATGTGGGTGATGTCACATCTTATGTGGATAACGTTATATCCCTTCTAATGAAAAAAAAATAAAATGTACAAAATAAGGGTGTAGAATTATCCAAATTGTGTTGAGTACAATGCTAAATTACTTTATATAGAGCCGAAGCTCTAAACAATCAAATTGAAGCCCACCTCAAAAATTTCACTAAAAGAGGTTGTTTTAATGCCCAAATATCCTAAAATTGATCATCTTGACATCAAGATGCATAGGCATGAAAAAAAATGGATTTCAAGTTTTGCAAATAATGTATCTTGTAACACATTTTTGGACGGTCAGTTTTCAAGATTTTCAAGTTTTCGTAGTTCTGCTGGATCTACACTGTTTTTGAAGCTTTAAATTTTATAATTAAAGATGAAAATATATTTTAAGGCTATCTCAAATATTTCCAGTATTGAAACTGCATTTCTCGACACTATTGGAAGGTGAGCTTTACTTTGATTGTTTAGTGCCTCGGCTCTACACAAACTACACTATATATATATATAGGGACAAGATGATATTAGCCCACTAGTTCATATGAACATATGAGCCCAACATCACAGATGGAATATAGGCCGATTTGACGATCACAGATGTCCGATAGCATTTGAATTTTAGTTTTTTTTTTTACAAATCCAAATCACTTGATATTTTACAAAATTATTGATATTTCAGTTCATGGGTGACTATAATATACTCCCGCAGAAGCACACACGATCTACTTCCTCGGGTAGGAAATCTATTTGGGTAGATATTTTCAATCTAAAATTTTGGGAGCTGAGCATATTGTCTTTGGCAAAACTCAATTTAGGAGTAATTTAAGGATCCCATGGTACTAACCTCAAGAAAGAAAAGCCTCGAATCATAATCTCTATATGTTAAAAAAAAAAATGTCTTAAAGATTGAAATGAGGCCGTCCAGTTTTATGAGGGTGAGATCAGTGGTATAAAACTTAAAATTCAAATTTCATCTTTTAAAAATAATATCGAATGATTATATAATAGGAGAATGAAATCTTTGGGCTTCGATTATTATGATTTTCCTACTTTTTCTCTTTACCCTTATCGTATGTGTTGGATACTTAGAGTTGGTCCTTCTTTT